AACTAACAGAACTGTCTCCTAAATTTACTTTTTATTTGCAAGTAGCTATATTTTGACTATCTTGAGTTTTATACTAGACAAGTAAATGTATGTTGTATCACATTATGTCCCTTTATTTATGGGAGCTTTTAAACTTATATGTAATTATTTATTTTAGAATCACAGTTTTCCTATATGAAACAAAGAAGATTCTTAGACTTAGAAGGGAAGCTGCTGACATATCACAGAAGGAGGTAAAGAAACACGAAAGGCATGTCTTGCAGCAGATCTGGCAGTGGTAAATACACAGGATGTGTCAAGCAACTGCACTGGGGAGTGGCTCTATTTAGAAGTAAAAGGTCGAGGAAAAGCACATAATTAGTAACCTGGATTGCATTTCTATACATAAGAAATATCATCTTTTAAAATAAGATACAAAGAAATATTTTCTGATAGCTTTTAATGAAATAATGCCCTGTGTCAACAAGTACTCTATTTTTCAGTAGTTGGGGAAATACTATAGTTGGGTCCTCAGCCGAAAGAAGCAGGCAGAACACAGGCTACATTTTAAATATTCAGATTAGAATCTTCTCTTCCTACTCAGGCAGTCTCTTTCAAAAGAGGCAGATTAAGGAAATTAATAGGAAGAGGCTTTAACATCCACTCAGATAACTGTCAGCAGTGCAGAGGGCACAGAACAGACCAGTCCTACAGGGAGTCATCAGTGTTTTCCCCTAAACACTCTAATTATGTACCAGATGGTTGAATTCAGTGTACGCTTTAACTATGACAAGGTCAGATCTGAGGACTGTTGTCTGATCTCCTAGTGCCAAATACCTAAGCTTTGCTTCTAAAATACAGGCAAACCTTGGTTTTTATCAGATTTAACAAAATTATTAATTCTCCTGTCTCTGTTCCCAGCACAGCACATATTTCTAATCCCTCCTTTTTTCAATCATATACACCATAGTGATAGTTCTAATTAGAGCTATTATGGATCAAGCACCAACTATGTGCCAGCAGTTTGAAAACTGGGGTCTCGCTAAAGATCTGCTACATTCTCAAATATGAGCCATGCTATTGGAAAGAAGGAATAAAAGTAACTTGTGTGAGCAGGTGCAAATTATGAATATGGTAAAGAGCCAAGGTATGTTTATATTCATGTCTAGAAGGTGAAGCCTGCCTACGTGCTAACACCAAGCTGTCCTGAAGGCTTAATGCATACAACTGAATTGGATTTTGCTAGGACATGGGACCGCAGGTGCCACAGGCACACCCTGGCCATCTTTGTCAAGGTGAAGACTTAATAGCAGCCTGACATGAAGAAATAACACTAATATTATCTCATTTTAAAGTCGGTTTAGAATACTCCCATCAGGAAACAGAAATAAGGGTTTTCAAATACGAGGTATATCTTTAATTTTGATATATATCTCTAGGGGTAAGTTACCCAGAAAAGGACACCAAGTTGGACACAGATACCTGTGGAATATCTTATTTACCCTATAGGCCTTTGGGTAAATCCAAAAGGTTTGGGTAACATTTACAATCCATGATTCTTACCAGAATACAATATTTCATCCACACAGATCTGAGCTGGTCAACATTATTTCACAGTTTGGAAATATTGGATAACTGACGAATGTTTCAACTTAAAACTATTAAAAATGTTGCCATCTTTCTCTAGATCACCAAAGACTAGTCCCTTTAATGGTCATCATTTCCAGATAACTCATTAAATTGATGTGTTTTAAAGGACTTAATAATGAGTCTAGAATGACTGAGAACACGGCAACAGCTGCTAAGTGACTCATTACCAAACACTACTAGAGACAGTTTAGGACCCCCAGCAGGGAAAAATCACATGTTCTCCCTTCTAATTCTGTAATGTCTTTGATTAACCATGAAAATTACTGTTCATCTTCACTCATTGATTTTTGCTGAGTCTTAGGTTTGGTTCGAACTCTGTTAAACTCTAAGGGCCAGAAGAAATAAAAGTGTGTGTGGTGGTTGGTGGTTAGTGGTTGGGGGCGAGATGGAATTCTCTTTATCAGGTTTCTGTAGAGCACATTGTTTAATCTTCCAGATAAAGAAACAACATGGAGCATACAAGATTGTCTGTACTATATTTATTCCATGACTGTACCCACTTTTTTTCCAAAGAAGTTAAAAATGCAGAGAGAAAAAAAAAATGACTGAGGTCCACGCAAGGAAACAATGAAATTGCAAAGAAACTTGTAAGGCAATTTTTGGGGGTAAGAAATCATAAAAAGACAAATAATCGTTAATATCTGGAAATTCCAAGAAAAAAACTTACAAGTCAGAACAGAATCAACTTAACAATTCTTCCAAATATTCATTCCTAGCATAGTCATTTCTTTTTTTAAAAAATCAATAAAAAAAGTACTCAATGTCAAGAATAACTGTGGCAAGGAGATAACTTTGGCATTGTGGAAAAAATATACGTTCTGGAGTAAGGTCTGGGTTTGAGTTCCAATTCTCAGTCAAATGATTCTTTCTGAGTGAAATCCCCAAATATGAAATGGAAATCGATAATAATAATTCCTTAATGTCAGGAGGATCCAGGAATTGTTATTCCCAAGGAATAACACATGGAAAGGAACTCTGTACACTGTAAACACAATATAAAGAGTGGTTGGGATTGTTATTACTATAATCCACTGTATCTTCAGCAATGAGAGATTTTAACCAGATATTAAAAAGAAAAGGCAGGAGGAATGATTTAGAATAAATCTTTCCTTCTCACCAACTAGATTATTTAGTCACATTCCTTATAAAGAAGGCTTTACCAAATTATAAGGATGTATCCTTAACAAGAGATTAGATGGTAGTGGTTTGACAACTGTGTTGTGTAAGAAGCAGCAGAGAGAGATAACTGCCTTCTTTGAAGGGTTGTGATACAATACAGATTGTGGACCAGACTTGTTCTGTTCTGCTATAGAAAGGTGTCATGGATAGACAGACTCTGCAGATGGAGACCACAATAAGGAAGATTATGGAAAGAATGCTCTAACAATGAGAATAGTTTCCAACGAATAAACTGCTTCAGAGGTAGACATCAGTCCATCCATGAGGGTGTCAGGCAAAGACTGAATTGGAAAGCAAAATGAACTAGGTAACTCTAAGGAACTTATGACATATGTTCTTCCTCTGACTGAATATTTCCATTAGGGAGAAGTCCTATAAGTTTTATCTGAATTTTTTCTTCAACAGCCATAGGAACCATGACATAATACATCTGTGGTAGATTGACTTATTGGTCTCAATTCTTCTCTCCCTTAGTCATGCCACGGCTTCTTGGTAGAGGGAGTGTATTTCCTTGCTCCTTGACTTTAGACTCGGTCACGTGATATGTGTTGGCCAATGTGATGCTAGCAGTCGTGATGCAGTGACTGCAGATGACTTGTAGCCGACAGCAGAGTTGCCTCAATCTATTTGTAAACCATCACTGAGAAATAAAAGGGTTTTTTGTATGTCACTGAATTTTGGGATGTTATTTGTTATTTGGCAATAGCTAACTGATACAACACCCATTACAAAACATATTTTAAGAAATGATGCAGAATTGTCTAAGATATACACTGGAGGCTGTGTAAGTACATTACCAAAATGACCTCATTAGAAACTCATCTATCCATAACACTGCTCGACCATCAAAGAAGCATTAATAAAAGTGCTCTAATCTATTTATCATTCAAAACTAGGAAAAACATAAATAAAAATTAACATAATTACTACTGCTGGAAGACACAAGTATTCTCTCGAAAGGATGAACATACATTTTTTAAAATAATAAGAACAGAGAGAAACTGTTTTGAAATGTTTTTCAACAAAGCCTAAATAAATTCACCCTGCCAACCGCAAGTCTGCAAAACAGGCATCTGTGAGCAAAATGGATTTTAATCAAATTCAGATGAAATCACTGTTTTAAAAGTATTCAAAGAGGTTTTGTAGAGTACATTAACAAGCCCCACAATGTGTTTATGCCTATATTACAACAATGCAAAATGTCACATAAAGCATGTATGACCCTTTTATTTTTCTGATGCAGGAACTCATTACATTTGAGATGTTTCATTAAGCTGGATGCTGAGACTTTCATACCTGCTCCACTACAGCAGTGCCATGGGCTTAAAACTCCTGAAGAATAAGCCAGTGGAGCCAGAGGGAGGCCACTAGAATTGAAACTGTGGTGGATAATGGCTCAAATACTAGTCCACTAGCTTCTACAAGCATTATGACAACCTTAATATTTACTTCATGGATAGTAAATCAGATTCTCATATCAGCAATCATATTTGATCTCAAGGTAAAAAGTGTGCTTAGGTGAGAGAAGTGACATGTAAAATCTGAATGCCAGAGGCAGCCTCTTTTATCTGGTGAGCTCTGGCTATAATCCTCATTGTGGCATACTTGGATCATAAAGCAAACTGAGAAGTTAGAATGAATATGACTTTTATGCAATGTTCATATTTGCTACATGCTCCATGTATGAACAATATTAAAGGCCACAACTTATCAGACAGTAGAATTATGCCTTTTTATCTGTAAAGACAAGCAAGTCTGTCTGCTTAATATTTGTCACTCTTTGTTAAAATTATATACTACTTATATATTGTTTCCTTTCCAATCACAGCATCCCCATGCTGGCATCTTAAATTCCACTCATTAATTCTGTTCTTTTCAAGGATATATGAGAAAATACTCAATGGGACAATTTAAAAAAAGATAATGCAAAATGTATTAGCTGAAAAAAAGTAAAAAAATATCAAAACACATTAGGCAACATATTTTTGCAATATTAGAAGATTATCATGGTTCATTCTTGAAAATTTTCCCTGGTAGAAAATCTACCAGCCAAGAATATGACAAACTAATTTTAATAATGTCCTCATCACAGACTCAAAAGCCTTCATGTACATATGTCTGTGTGTGTGTGTGTGTGTGTGTGTGTGTGCGTGTGTGTGTGTGTGTGT